TTATTTTTATTTTTTTATATAAATAAGGTTGCCTTTGGTTAAATAATAATAAAATATTTATAAATTAAAATTAAATGCTGTTCATCAGTAACCACTTGAAAACGGCTGGACTTTTTTGATTAATTATTTTTTCAATGATTTTATTTTTCCGAATAAGGTTTCTAAGGAATAAAAAATTTAAAAAGTTGCAAGAAAAATTTAGGAAACCTGAAAATAATAGAAATTTAAATAACAATGAATGTATTGTATTTTTAATAAAGTGTGTTTTTCCTGTCATCAACATTCGAAGTACCTAATTTAAATGCTCCAGCTTGTGAGATCAACATCTTTACTGATAAAAAAGTGAGTTTAGTTGATGTATTCGGCAGGTCAAAATTTAAAATTCCCGGGATCGATTTAATTTTTTTGGTGTATCTCAAAAACTAATAACCGTACACTTAAAATGTTCAATAAATATTTATAATAGCATTTTCAATTTATGGTAACATCTTAAAAATGTTTTGAGTATATTTGATCAATGTATAGCCTTAAGTAAATTATCGGATTTCGTATTTTTTTTTTTAAACTTGACAATTTAATGTAAGAGTCCTCGTTAGTTGGTTTAATAGCAGTTCAAAAATATTAAAGATAAATGGTCATAATTGTTTTTTATATGCATTTAATGTTCAAACTTTGACAAAATTCATAGAAATCCTGAAAATTTGCAAATTATTTCACAGTTACATAAGAAATGTTAACAGATGAGTTCCAACAARCGTTTCAACCTTTATCAAAAAAAAAGTTCACCAGACAGTATCATTAATTTTTTTTTATTAGCGCGTGATTTTTAATTTTTGACAAATTTGATATATAGCAGTTTTCAATAATTAAATTTGATTATTTTTACATGTATGCACTATGCACAAGACCATATTACCGCTTAGGCTGTTTAGACTAAAGCCTAGGGCAGCAAATTTAAAAATCGAAAAGTCGAAAAATAAAAAGTTGAAATAGATTGTGGTCTCGTGGTTGAGCTTTACAATTCTTTAATTCAACTTACAAATACTCGTAAAAATTTTGATGAATTTGAAAGAAAAGCACTTGAAAAATCTGTTACAAAAGAATATAAAGATTTAAAAACTCATAAAAAAATTAATCAATTTTTTATGATGAAACTCGACATAATGATTTAATTATTTCTGGAAGAGAAAAATTTTAAATTTATACCGTTTTAGATATTTTAGATCGTTTATTTAATGAACAAGAGAAGAGCTGCGAAACAAAAAATTTTTTCCATTTGCTTTTATTGTTAAGCTTGAAAGTCTATCACGYRATGATAACGTTAAAAGAGCTACACAACTTAATGAAATATACTTTAATGATTTAGATTTAAATGAATTAATTAATGAATGTCTACAT